GCTAAAGGATCTGTTAATATTTTAAAGGAACATTTGGTTCAAAAGCTGAATTTTCGTTCATATTTTATGTGAATCATTTTTTATGACTAGTTATACAGTAATAATATTCAGCACTTTAAATAATTTACAACACTCCTGGCTTTTCATATCTGTGCGTCTACTTGAGTGCAAGTGCACACTATGCTAAAAATATATTTCATACAGTCTTCAAATAACAAACACATTCCTTGAGTAGGTAAATATACCCGACAATAAAAGCAAATCTATTTCTGAATCATCTGAATAGATGAATATATAACATCCTTCACCAAGTTTTCTACAGTACATACAATTCTGGACCTCTTTTTATATTTTAAAAAATAAGAGATAAAAGAACATAAGTTTAAAGTGTAAAACTGATAATCATGTTGTATTTCATGTAAAAAGCCATGATGTGCCATCTACGATTATGTTAGCTGAAGTGCCTGTGAATGAGTTACGTTAAAAAGATGCTGAGAGCTTTGTTAAAGGATATTATTATTCATCATCAAAGGAATGTTAGATTAGCAGGGGGGAAAAAATTACAAACGCATTGTATTTTGTGTTGGTTAGTGAATGAGTGGGGATGACTTTGAAAAAAACGTTTGATAGCATATCCCTTCAATATTTATAACTTGACATTTCAAATTTTATTGGAATCTCAAATTAATGCAAATCCAGGTCGACAAACTCTATCACATCCTGAGATGTTACACTTTAAGCTTTGAAAATATTAAAAGGATATGATATTTGCTCTGAGAGGGAGGAGTTTATTTTGCAATAAGAGTGAAGAACATCGATCTAGAATTAAAATACACTCAAAGCAGCCAAAAACGCATTTATTGCCATGTAAAGGTGAGGTATGCAATTTTCTATTTTTCAATGTTGAAATATAATCTTTCTACACCAGTTGAATATGCAAAGACTTCTAAGGTTTTTGAAGGTTGATTTCCTGAAGAGAATAATTACATTTGAATCATTACTCTGTATGTTAGTGCACCCCAACATTTCGATTTCTGGTTCAAAAATAGGCTTAAGAAAAATAAGAATATTAATATGCAATAATAATATATTTGTCTTAATTTATTGACTTTGACTGAATTTTCAGGCAGTCAGTTTAAAATCATCAAGCCTTTGTTTTGCATGATTTTTAAATATGCTCATTCCAAATGCTTTCATGCTTTATCTTTTTATGGTAACTGTAATGGGACAAAAATTTTGGAATACAAAAATGAAAATAAACTGAAGTACTTGAGTTCAAAATGCACATAACTTCACACAAATGCATGTAATTTGCAAAGTGAATTTAAAGCGAACTAAAACCTGCTAAAACCTCTTAGAATGCATTACCACAGCAGAAAGACAAAAACATGAAAAATATGCAT